CAAGTAAATGTTTTTTTAATGATACTAAATGTTAAGTATAGCTTTGGTAGCATCAAATCACTATACATATTAAGTAACTGTTTTTTAATGATACTAGATGTTAAGTATTGCTTTGGTAGCATCAAATCACTATACATATCAAGTAAATGTTTTTTTAATGATACTAAATGTTAAGTATAGCTTTGGTAGCATCAAATCACTATACATATTAAGTAACTGTTTTTTAATGATACTAGATGTTAAGTATTGCTTTGGTAGCATCAAACCACCATACATATTAAGTAACTGTTTTTTTAATGATACTAAATGTTAAGTATAGCTTTGGTAGCATCAAATCACCATACATATTAAGTAACTGTTTTTTTTAATGATACTAAATGTTAAGTATTGCTTTGGTAGCATCAAATCACTATACATGTTAAGTAACTGTTTTTTTAATGATACTAAATGTTAAGTATTTTTAAACCAACCAATAAACTTGATAATTACTTATTATCTAACTTTTTAAACCAACCAATAAACTGGTAATTACTTATTATCCACTCTTTAAACCAACCAATAAACTGGTAATTACTTATTATCCACTTTTTAAACCAACCAATAAACTGGTAATTACTTATTATCCACTCTTTAAACCAACCACTACACTAATAATTAAACTACTATTTATTTTATAATGAATTTTTAATGTGAAAAAGCTAAGTTTACTGATGAATTTACATGGGAACTATTGTATATTTCCAAACAGCCATGTAATATGTAGAATCATACTATAAAAGATACACAGATATGTATAGTGATTTGATGCTACCAAGGCTATACTTAACATTTAGTAGCATAAAAAAAAACAGTTACTTAATATGTATCATGATTTGATGCTACCAAAGCAAAAATTTTTAATTTTTTTTGTAGTTTCTAACAATTATCGTATACTTTCAGTTTATTATTAGTGCTTTCAAAAGTGGAAATATCTACAACTCCTTTCTAGTGAAGTACCAAATTTGCATTTTTGGTAGAAAATATACATGTCATAAGAAATTTTTTTGTAAGCTTATGGAATTATTAATTTTTTAACTATGCTTTTAATTACTAGCAAAATATCATACTTTAAACCAAAAGCTGTTCTTAATCTACTGCTGAACTCTGTGCTCATATTAAGTCAAATGCAAACCCATTTAATGTGCTGAATACCCAAATTTAAATATTTTAAAACTACATACGGCCCTAAATTATTGAATTGTTACACAAAGTCTAGAAAAATGCTGACAAGATAGTTTTTTTTTTGCATATTACTCCCTTCTTAATGAAAGTTCAAGCTCTGAGAAGTAAGGGCCACCACCAACTCAATATGTCATCCAAATGAACGTGGTGAAATATCTGTATGCAATAAATTATTTTCTCTTCCCCCCCTCAGCAAGCTAATTTAGGCTTAGGATGGATTATCTTTATTGTAAAACTGAACAAGTGAATGAATAAGTAACCCAGACTCGATGTATTGTACCATATACTTGCAGAAAATCCTCTTGTGTTAAATCCTAAAATATTACCACTTCTACATTTGTACTAATTTAAACAGTTTGAACTATCAAAATCGCCTACCTATTTCTTCTACATTTGTACTAATTTAAACAGTTTGAACTACCAAAATCGTCAACCTATTTCTTCTACATTTGTACTAATTTAAACAGTTTGAACTATCAAAATCGTCTACCTATATCTTCTACATTTGTACTAATTTAAACAGTTTGAATTATCAAAATCGTCTAGCTATTTCTTTTTCCTCTAGAATTTTTGCTGTTTTACAGCAATCTCATAAAAAAACAAATACTTTTAATTTAGGGCTAAAGCCACATGGTGTATTTTTGGAAGTGCTAAGTGGGACTCATCTAGAGCTATTCTGTATTTATCAAAGTAAAAATCAAATTGTTTGGAGTGTGGAATGGGAAGGCAACTCCCTCCTCCCTTGCCTTGTGTCTCAAGTTCAGCTTGCACCTTGGTGTTCGGGTGTGCTAGAACCCCCAATGAATACTATGTGCTGACAGATATGATTTTAACTAATGTTCTTCAGTCTCAAGCTACAGTAATTTAACTAGCCACATTTTTCTCGTTTTCACAGAATACCAAATAGAAAACTAAAAAACGTAACATACATAAAAATTGTGGTTATGAATTGATATAGCCAACTAAATGAAAGAAAATTATTTTAACAAATGTGAATAATATTCTTGGAATTACATTTCAAAAAAAGCACTACGACACACGGTTAACATAATGTTTTATGAAGTGTTAATTATTTAACTGATTCCTAAACAACAAATTCCACAACAAGCAAGTGTGATACAAACAAATACAGTTAAAAGATTCTAAAAGCATTCCTCAGAATTACATTACAGAATTATTTTCTTTTCGCCAAAGGTAAACTTGATAATATAATCTGTGACGTAGAGGCCTAATGTAAAATTTAACTTGTGACGTAGAAGCCTTGATAAAATACTTTAACTTCAGAAAAGTAGGAGAAACTTACTTGAGCAATGGCGGTATTCTATCCGTAAGTGAGCAGTGTCAAAGTTCTCTATTGGAATAGCAAGCTGAAAAATAAACTTACTTTCAGGAATGTTTAAACTCACAAATACAAACATATTTCAAAATGTTATTAAGCTAAATCAACCAATAAACAGATAATTACTTATTATCCACTCTTTAAACCAACCAATAAATTGATAATTACTTATTATCTAACGTAAAACGAAAAGGAATGAAGCAGTGAATATTTCAAACTATCTGTCCAAAAAGTTGACCAATTAATTATTTTTTTCCTTATAGAACTTTTAACAACTTCTATGTATTTTCAGAACATTTTTAAACAGTTTGAAGTTCGGTGAAAACTGTAAGATATAACTGCACAAACACGTAAACGACGAGTTTCAGACAAAAACTTACAAGTGTAAACCTTATACTTACCTTATATATATACAGTTCGTGGTTTCCGTTACTTAGAATTGCTCCACGTTCATCCATAAGTGGGATAAAAGAGCATCCTAAAAGCTTCTTCTCTTTGTCTCTTGCTGCAAAATTTATAATTCATTTTAGCAAATAATTTGTAACAAAACAAAATTTAATTAATTTGATCAAAAATTATACAGATTGTTTCGGGTAAATTTTTTAAGTTTTTTTGTAGTTTCTAACAATTATTGTATACTTTGGGTAGTGATTTTATCTACTTCTTTGTATTTTAAAATGTTATCGTAGCTGCATTTGTCGGTTATCGCGTAGTTATGGTAATAATTATTATCTAGTTATATGAAATTAAAGATGATAATTAAATCTAGGTGAATATATAGGCTACTAACCATGACAGTGATTGGCATCCAATTGTCATAACCTCATTGTAAGTACTTATGAATGATGCTAAGGTTGTGAACATTGAAAAAAAAAAGTCAGTTTACCATTGTGTCTAAGGTACCAGTAAGAATGTTAATTTTGTGAAAGATTTTTTTTTCAGTATAGTAATGTTCTCTGAGTTTGTCTCAAGGATTAACTTGAAACGTTTTTTACGATGGTTGATGTGTATGATGATTGCTAATTTGTGCATGTTGTTTTATCTGTTGTACTTGTGGTTGGTTGTATACAGATACATATTTCATTATTATTAAGTATATGACTTTTAATGTATTTGAATAACAAACATTATATTTTTTAATGTATGGGATCATTTAATTAGTCAATTCTGTATCATATTATGTCAATTGAGAAATGTAAGATAAAAAAAAAAATTAATTTTGTGTATTTCGAAAAGATTGAACATTAGTTCATTTCACAATTAGCAACTCTATAAATTCACAAGTTTACTTACTAAATATACATTTTTCAGATTGCACATTAACCACTTAATTCTATTTAAAGTTTTTATACAAACCATTAGATAAACATTCTACAAATTTTACATGAGCCTAGTCACAGGCAGTATGAATTCTTATCTTATACGTTCATACTGCAATCACTCACCGTTCTGCGTGAGTTTAGTTGAGCAAAGCAAAGTGTTAATTTCAAGTATTTCTCTTGGACTACGAGTGAACTGTTGTCCCACAACTGAGGTAGTGTATGGTTGTGTAGCTCCAGCAGAAGCTGACCCACAGGACTGAACAGAAGGTACTCCATCTTTTGGTCCAACAGGAAGTGAAAGATAATCCTTTGGTTCTTGTAACTTGGTCCTATCTTCACACTAGATACAAGCACAAGAAAACTTAGACTAAACAATGAACTCTAAGCCAAAGACAAGAACCATACAGCAGTCAGTAGAGTAGTTTTATCTCTTGTCATATATGTAGTAGACTGACTATATGAAGTATTAAACATGTGAAGAACAGCTGAACGACTATATAAAATATTTTGAAGTCAACAATAAATTGTAGAGCCCACATAACCATGGTTACACCTCGGACATATAAGTTTACATAAGAGCCCTGCATTTCAGGAACACCATCTTTAAATTTAGAGTAATTAAATGAAATATCAACTCAACAACATCTCTTAGTTGAAAGTGAGCATAAATCTTATGATTCTAAATAAATTTTATTTTTTTACTAATTCTAAAGCACGTTTTTAGTATATAGCAAAACACAATAAACCATCTGTTTAGTTTAAGGAAATTTGTTAATTCTAAAATCATATATGTATTATCACTCAAATAAAGAAGAAAACTTATTCTTTATATCTAGAACTTGTTCATGAAACACAGAAAAATAACTATATTACGAGCCCATCACGTTAAATACATATTAAATTCTTTATAAACTATAGGGGTAAATAGCTATCAAAATTAAAATATAAACCAGTAAATATTAATTTACGGTAACACTTACTTTCAAACAACATTCCCGAATTAACTATTTTAGTATCCAAAAATGGATTGACTTTGTTCTTCAACAGTAAATTTAATACTAAAACATGTTTGTATTTGAATATTTCTGAAATTTGCACACATCCAATTCATTTGTTTGTTTGTTTTTTTTTAATTTTGCGCAAAGCTACACGAGGGCTATCTGCGCTAGCCATCCCTAATTTAGCAGTGTAAGACTAGAGGGAAGGCAGCTAGTCATCACCACCCACCGCCAACTCTTGGGCTACTCTTTTACCAATGAATAGTGGGATTGACCGTCATGTAATAACGCCCCCATGGCTGAAAGGGCGAGCATGTTTGGTGTGATGGGGATTCGAACCCGCTACCCTGAGATTGCAAGTCGAGCGCCTTATCCACCTGGACCAATTTATTTTTAAAAATAACAAAGGTGCCTTCTATACACCTTTTGTAATATAATGGTTAAATTTGTTTGGGACAATTGTATAACACAATTTTCTCATAGTAATTTTAACATGTAGAGAATCCACTTATCTGTTCACAATGACAACCTTTAGCCCTATGCATAGAGGCCTAGCCTGTTTTAATTTTAATTCATATAAATTTAATTTTACAAAAATATTGTTTATTCTCTAAATTATTTTTTAAATATTTTTATGAAATTTTGGACACGACTCTCAGACCCCAGTTTGAGAAATACCGATCTATGAGAATGATTTCATCGAGTATTCATATTTTAAGACATTAAACTTATAAAACGGTTGCAAATATTAAGAAATTCTAAAAATAAAAAATTCCTCTTTATATGATTGATTATACTAGTACAAAATATATAGAGTTCTTGTATGACTCTAAATATTAACAAATGTTTCACTACAAAACCAACAGTTTGTGGTTTGTTGTATACGTGGAAACATGTTTTAGAATTAAAGAAAAAAGGTTAAAACTGCTTTGAATTGTAAGGTTTATCCTCATTACTGTAGAACATGTAAAAATTTCAAGACAATAAAACCATTGCAGGCCTGTGTAATTAACTATAATAGACAATGTAGTTTCTTGTCTGATATTTTTCAGATTTTAATACGACTGTATGTATCATGTCAGGTGATTTTACATTTCAAAAATACACAATAATTCCCCTGTTGTTTTATTGTTACTTTATCTGAAAATAGGTATGGTTAAAAACTACATGATTGTTGAAAGCATGTCTCAATCAAGACTAACAGCACAAAGCTTTGCATGAAGCCAAAATATTGTGTGAACTTACAAGGACTTTGAATACCAAGCCTGAGTGAGTTGTTGCATTGCCGTCAATGGTAGAAAACATGGAGAACAGTGCATCAAGGATATCCTGCAAAAACTTGACAATCTCCTCACCATTTAGTTTCATCACCTTCCACAAGGTGTCTTGAATTCTCTCAGGATGAGCTTTCCATTTAAGGAGAGCAAGGAGATCTCCTGTAAACATGAACAATTTAATATTCATCAAGACAGGGATCAAGTAACTAATGTACATGATGAGAAATAGTCTACTATAATATAATGCATAATTTCCAATAGTAAAATATTCTCAATAATGTGTGCGCTTGATTCTCGTGCTAGCAGTTTACGCTTTCAATTAAAAAATATTTCCCTTCACTTCTACAAGACACAATTATGTCAGACTCATCACGGCCAACCACGAATAATCCAAATGTTATATGTGTGTTTAATCTTCTGAGTCTTTCAGCTGTCACTTCCTCAAATAGAACGTTCAAACTTAAAGACCATGAAAAACAAAGCTATTCTTCACGTGTTTAATACGTGATATAGTCAGTCGGCTATTTTTCACATGTTTAATACTTGATATAGTCAGTCGGCTATTTTTCACATGTTTAATACTTCATATAGTCAGTCAGCTATTTTTCACATGTTTAATACGTGATATAGTCAGTCCGCTATTCTTCACGTGTTTAATACGTGATATAGTCAGTCGGCTATTCTTCACGTGTTTAATACGTGATATAGTCAGTCCGCTATTTTTCACATGTTTAATACTTGATATAGTCAGTCCGCTATTTTTCACATGTTTAATACGTGATATAGTCAGTCCGCTATTCTTCACGTGTTTAATACGTGATATAGTCAGTCGGCTATTCTTCACGTGTTTAATACGTGATATAGTCAGTCCGCTATTCTTC